ATAAGACCCTGTCTTATTTTCGGAGAAACACAGATGTCTCTCACAACACCCCATTCAATAACATATTTGATTTAATTGTTTATGCAGTTAACAACCAATGTGTCTTCCCAGGATCTATATTTACTTAATTGAATCAAAAGAAGAAAATGTTTGTAGAGCTAATAATCAACATGAACTTTTACTCCTATTGAAGGTATATTTGAAGTAGTAATAACCGAATGTTCTTATTGTTTCTCGAAAATATCAAGCTTCAAAAGATTAATTGATTAAATCAAGCAACTTTAAATTGTTCTGCACCAATTGTTCTGTATGATAAATCATGAAGAAAGTTGCCCCAAAGTAAAATTTTAAAAACCCTTGTCAATAGCTACAATTTTAATTTTGAATAATTTTCAGGAAGAATTTAGGCAGCTAAGTAACATTACAATCTAAATCAATGACACCTTAACATACAGGTACTTCAACTTACAACAGTTCATTTAATGACAATTCAAACTTATAATGGCCCTGAAAAAGTGACTTATGACCATTTTTCACAGTTACGACCTTTGCAGTATCCCCATGATCATGTGATCAAAATTCAGACACTTAGCAGCTTACTCATATTTATGACTATTTGCTGTGTCCCAAGGTCATGTGATTATCTTTTGTGACCTTCTGACAAGGAAAATCAATTGGAAAGCCAGATTCACTTAAAAACTGAATTACTAACTTAACAACTGCAGTGATTCATGTAACAACTGAGGCAAGAAAGGTCATAAAATGGGGCAAAACTCATTTAACAAATGTCTCACTGAGCAATGCAAATTTTTGGGCTCCATCGTAGTTGTAAGTCGAGGACTTGCCTGTACTTGAGGTTGGTGCAAGATGAATGGGTTGAAAAATCACCATTTTCTGTTTGAGTTGTGCTGTAAATATTTAATAAGAGTAAATGAACACTACAGATATGCAAATGTTGCAGTCAGCATTCTAAGAAAGAATGTTGGGAGTGCTGACATTTTGTTGAGATATTGGGACCTCCTCAGAGAAATGCAATTTCAGTGATTTCCTGTGGCTGGGAAGTGAGTGGTTTAAAGTCTATGTCAATAAATCCACAGTGCTATTTCACACCCACAAAGAAAAAGCAATGTTATCATGTATATGCAGTCACATGCATGCTTACTCAGAAGAAAATCCCATTTGAGTTCAGATTGGCTTATTCCCCTAGTAAATACACATAGACCTACAGCTTTTTTTTTTTTTTTTTTTTGCCTAGACAGCTTAGTGACAGCTAGACAGCTATTTTTATTCCTGCAAGTTATTATTTTGGCTCTTTGGTAATTAATAAAATGTGCCACTGATGTCATCTAAGGATAACATAACTTCTTATAAGTATTCAAATAAGTTTCAAATAAGAAAAGAAATGCAAATCTTTTGTTTAAGTCTCATTTTGTCATTGTTGCTTTTATTTATTAAAATGAAGTTGAATTACCATTATGAAAACTTAGAGCAAATAGCTACAGTCAGAGCTAATCCTGGAATGTGCTGTGTTAGCTTAACCCCACAGCACTGACAATGCCCTTTAATGCATCTATTATTTCAGATTTGGCTCTCTTCTCTTGGGTAATGCTCTTTAACTCTATAGTGGTAAATTCTGAATGAATTATCCAGACTGATAATCCCTGGATGTGAGGTCATTAGTTTACCATTAGAAGATCCCAGCATAGAATAGACAATAATACCGAAGCCTCTCTATTGTATGTAACAAAATACCCTGGGGTTAACAGGACAGCTTCCCCATCCTATCTGTATCCCTTCACTATATAGCTTCTGTTGATTTTTTTATTGACTTTAAATTCTGCTTTTTGTGAGATTTCATAGACTAGTTTGCAGATTTCAATATGTATAAATACTGAGACCTTAGAGAGCTTTGAACTAGAAACAACTCTTAGTATTGGAAAGTAAAAGAAAACAAAAGGATTGCATAGATTAAACATAGATAAAATTGAAACTAAAAACATGGCAGGTGAGGATGAAGATAAAGATAATTTATTAAATTTATATGCCACCTAAAATTGCTGTTATTTTTTTAATTTGTCACTAAAAGTTCATCTTTATTTGTATACAAGTCAATAACCCGGCATTGCCCTGGTATTTATAGGGGGAAATGTCCAGACCAAATGTAATTTCTAATGTTGGATTTTCCCCCTTACCAGAGGGAGCCGCCCTTGTGGAGTACTGTAAAGCCGTTACCATGGCAACTCCACTGCACTGCACAGTAGAAGCCATTTTACAGCATTACAGTAGAAGCCATTTTAAGGCACAACAGACTGTATCTTAACAGAAAAAACACCCCAAGGGGTTTTAGGGGTGTCTTACCCCCATAATATTTTTTCCAGAGACTAAGTCTCCTGCGCATGTGCGGGACTCGGATGGCTGCCTGGCTTCTNGAGGAAGCACCGCTGCTGCCATGGGCGGGAGCTTTGGCAGCTTCACCTCAGCGCCAGGCGGCAGAAATTTTAATCAAGAACACCCCCGCCCTACCCCACCCCGCCCCACCCGCCAATGGTGTCCTGCTTTACCAATTTTAAAATCTGGTCACTTTATTTATTTCCCAAAAAAGAAATGGCTGCACAATTCCATGTTGTAGAACCAGAAATGGCATTAAATTATTTCTTAAAAAAAAAAAATCTTATATTTTAATTGCCAGTGGGTAAAAGATCAATCTCTTTCTCATACTGGAGTTATTGGGAGGACACTAAATAAGGTGCCCTCAGAAAGACATAATGGCAGCAGTAACTAACTAGCAATTACACAGACAAGCAAGATCCGAGAATCTAAATTTAGAGAATGGTCTTAAATCCTTTACACTTCACTGTAGGGGCCTACCCAGGTTGCTATCTTTTGCTTTTGATTGTGTGCAATGTGTAACTAACAAATGATATTTGATTGTAAATTAAGTTTATTTACTATTAAAACAGAAACAGAACATTCACACATTTTCTATTTCATCACAGTTTGATACTGTTCATTTTTATTTGGAAATCCAATGTACAATTGAACTTAGTCACAAACTCTTGTGAATAGAATGGCCATCGTATTATATTCATTTCATAATACAATACAGGGCATTTTTCATCTTCCTTTAAATAGATTACATTGCTTGCCACAAAAATGTGACCTGTCACTTATCACTGGGAAGTACTTGTTAAACCAGTAGTCACTGAAAAATATTAATGGTTAAAACATGTAACAGGCTTATAATCACCTGACAAAGCGGAAGTATTGCTCAAAGTTTTGATCTATTAATCTTTCAAGTTCAGTCAACAAGTTCAACTTTTCATTTTCCTATCAGAATGAACAAAACAATCTTTTTAATGTTTAAAACTATTTTCTTTTTGCAGCACTCCTGAAGGAACTAGTAAAGTAATGCTTCCTTGTTTATAGGTGGCTAAGAAATAAAATAACTTTAAATCACCTTGCAGAGTAAAAATAATTCTGGCTTCTATAAACTTGGGCAGCAAAGCTTTAATGCTTTGTTTTGCAATAACAGTTCATTTCAAAAGGTGGAACAGTGCATATTATTTTCACCTTTTGTTCTCAAGTTCACCTTTTCTCCAAATAACTTGGGGATAAAAGACTTTAGAGGGAAGAAAAAGAGTAGAAGGAAGTAGATGGTGCTTAATCCTTCCTTCTCCTTAGTATGCGTGCCTTCTGACTACAAATAGTTCTCAAGTTACAATCATTTGTTTAGCAACCATTTAAAACCACTATTCTTGTATTCTTGTTCTCATTTTTGTTTGACAAATTCCAATAAATAAATAAATTATGGTGGTGCCAAATGAAGTGACTTAAGTCCTTTAC